CCCTGCCCCCCCCCCCCAGCCCTTCTCTCCGCCCTGTGCCCACTCCTCCAGTAGCCCCACTGATCGTGTTAGCTACCCCTCCTCATCCCCTCTCCTAAAACCTCCCTCTACACACCTGCCCTGCCTCTCTCCTCTGGTGCTGGTTCCTCCACTGCAGGTGTCTGCCCTTCTGCTTCACCCCCAGAATCCCCTGGCACCTGCACCCTCCTGGTGCCTCCCCCTTCCCTCACTGCCCCTGCCCCCTTTGCCCTGATACCCACCCCCTCACCATCCTCTGCCCCCGTTCTTCTCATGCCCCTATGCCCACATGCCTTGCTCCATCCCTGCCTTCCTCATGCCCACCCCTTCTTTCAAGCCTTCTCCCAGCACCTTCCCCTCCCCCCTCTAGTCCCCAATGCCCTTACCCTCTCCTCTCCCAGCATCACCCTATCCCCCCTCCCACTGACACCTCCCCTGCTGCCCTTTTCCTCATTGTCTCCTTGGTGCCTTCCGCTTTCTTCTTCTTCTCCTGATCACCTCCCCTTTTCCTCCCCTCCCCTCAGCACATGCCCCTTCCCCATATTTTTTCCCTTCCCTTCCTCTCTCCTCCCCTTCCCACAGCGCAAGCTCCTTTCCCCTCCCCCTCCCCCGCCTGGCTTCTGCCTTCCACTTTGTGGGGTTGCCGGAGCCTTTTTGAATCTGGCGGTCGCCGGCTGTGACCTCACGCTGCCACGTCACGCTGGCATCTGCCAGCGTCCTGGCATCTGCCAGCATCCTGCCCTCTGGCTCACGGCCCGCCTCCTTGCGCTGGAGCTGCCCAGGGCTGAGAATTTCCGCACTTCCCCCTTCCCTGCGGCACTCCGCTCCTCCACCTGCTGGCGAATTGGATGAGGCTGCACTGCCCGTAGTGCGGGCTTCGGCCAGCCAGTCACAATGGCCCACCGGGCCAGTCCGCCCCTGCACTCAAGAGCTGGTACACTCGCCTGCGACGAGTAGATTTTATTTGTCGTGCCCTGCTTGTGACAATGGACGCAACTCAGTGAATGGCTGGACTTTTCATTCCCTCTTGGCTGGACAAAGATACTCCATCTGAGATTCATATTTATACTGATTAAAAGATAGGAAACAAAGGGTAGGAATAAATGGTCAGTTTTCAGAATGGAGAGAGATGGACAGTAGTGTCCCCATGGGTCTGTGCTGGGACCATTCCTATTCAACATATTCATAAATAATTTGGAAAAAGGGTAAATACTAATGTGTCAAAATTTGCAGATGATACAAAACTACTCAAGATAGTTATGTCCCAAGCAGACTGTGAATAGCTAAAAAGGATCTCGTAAAACTAGGTGACTGGGCAACAAAATGGCAGGTGAAATTTAATGTTGATAAATGCATAGTAATGCACATTTGAAAAACATAATCCCAACTAAACATACAAAATAATGTGGTCTTAATTAGCTGTTACCCCTTAAGAGAGATCTTGGAATCATTGTGGGTAGTTCTCTGAAAACATCTACTCACTGTGCAGCGGCGGTCACAAAAAGAATGTTGGGAATTATTAAGAAAGGGACAGATAATAGAGAATAAGACCAAAAATATTATATTGCCTCTCTTAATCCTTATCTTGAATACTGCATGCATATGTTACAACCCCATATCAAAAAAAAATATATTGGAAAGGGTTTAGACAAGAGCAACAAAAATGATTAGGGATATTGAACAGCTTCCATAAGAGGAGTGATTAATAAGACTAGAGCTTTTCATCTTGCAGAGGAGATGGTTAAAGAGGGAACATTATAGAGGTCTACAAAATCATGACTGGTATGAAGAAAATAATTACGGCAGCCCTCCTGTGCCCACTCCTCCAGAAGCCCCACCCTGATCATGTGAGCTACCTCTCCTCATCCCCTCTTCTAACACCTCCCTCTACACCTGCCCTGCCTCTCTCCTCTGGTGCTGGTTCCTCCACTGCAGGTGTCTGCCCTTCTGCTTCACCCCCAGAATCCCCTGGCACCTGCACCCTCCTGGTGCCTCCCCCTTCCCTCACTGCGCCTGCCCCCTTTGCCCTGATACCCACCCCCTCACCATCCTCTGCCCCCGTTCTTCTCATGCCCCTATGCCCTCTCACATGCCTTGCTCCATCCCTGCCTTCCTCATGCCCACCCCTTCTTTCAAGCCTTCTCCCAGCACCTTCCCCTCCCCCCTCTAGTCCCCAATGCCCTTACCCTCTCCTCTCCCAGCATCACCCTATCCCCCCTCCCACTGACACCTCCCCTGCTGCCCTTTTCCTCATTGTCTCCTTGGTGCCTTCCGCTTTCTTCTTCTTCTCCTGATCACCTCCCCTTTTCCTCCCCTCCCCTCAGCACATGCCCCTTCCCCATATTTTTTCCCTTCCCTTCCTCTCTCCTCCCCTTCCCACAGCGCAAGCTCCTTTCCCCTCCCCCTCCCCCGCCTGGCTTCTGCCTTCCACTTTGTGGGGTTGCCGGAGCCTTTTTGAATCTGGCGGTCGCCGGCTGTGACCTCACGCTGCCACGTCACGCTGGCATCTGCCAGCGTCCTGGCATCTGCCAGCATCCTGCCCTCTGGCTCACGGCCCGCCTCCTTGCGCTGGAGCTGCCCAGGGCTGAGAATTTCCGCACTTCCCCCTTCCCTGCGGCACTCCGCTCCTCCACCTGCTGGCGAATTGGATGAGGCTGCACTGCCCGTAGTGCGGGCTTCGGCCAGCCAGTCACAATGGCCCACCGGGCCAGTCCGCCCCTGCACTCAAGAGCTGGTACACTCGCCTGCGACGAGTAGATTTTATTTGTCGTGCCCTGCTTGTGACAATGGACGCAACTCAGTGAATGGCTGGACTTTTCATTCCCTCTTGGCTGGACAAAGATACTCCATCTGAGATTCATATTTATACTGATTAAAAGATAGGAAACAAAGGGTAGGAATAAATGGTCAGTTTTCAGAATGGAGAGAGATGGACAGTAGTGTCCCCATGGGTCTGTGCTGGGACCATTCCTATTCAACATATTCATAAATAATTTGGAAAAAGGGTAAATACTAATGTGTCAAAATTTGCAGATGATACAAAACTACTCAAGATAGTTATGTCCCAAGCAGACTGTGAATAGCTAAAAAGGATCTCGTAAAACTAGGTGACTGGGCAACAAAATGGCAGGTGAAATTTAATGTTGATAAATGCATAGTAATGCACATTTGAAAAACATAATCCCAACTAAACATACAAAATAATGTGGTCTTAATTAGCTGTTACCCCTTAAGAGAGATCTTGGAATCATTGTGGGTAGTTCTCTGAAAACATCTACTCACTGTGCAGCGGCGGTCACAAAAAGAATGTTGGGAATTATTAAGAAAGGGACAGATAATAGAGAATAAGACCAAAAATATTATATTGCCTCTCTTAATCCTTATCTTGAATACTGCATGCATATGTTACAACCCCATATCAAAAAAAAATATATTGGAAAGGGTTTAGACAAGAGCAACAAAAATGATTAGGGATATTGAACAGCTTCCATAAGAGGAGTGATTAATAAGACTAGAGCTTTTCATCTTGCAGAGGAGATGGTTAAAGAGGGAACATTATAGAGGTCTACAAAATCATGACTGGTATGAAGAAAATAATTACGGAAGTGCTATTTACTTGTTCTCCAAACATGAGAACTAGGGGGTCATCAGATGAAATTAGGAAGCAGCAGGTTTAAAACAAAACAAAAAAAAGAAGAGTTTTTTTTCCCCACAAAACTCTGTCAACCTTTGGAACTCCTTGCCAGAGGATTTTGTGAAGGCCAAGACTAACAGGATTCAAAAAAGAGCTAGATAAGTTCATAACGGATAGGTCCATCAGTGGCTGGAAATGGTGCCTGTTTCCATCCACATGTTACCAGGGTGTTCACTTTCAGATAGTAGTGAACAGCAAGGATGAAAACACAGTTCTCCAGATAGAATGCTTTATTTTGAAACCACCGTAAGTTGTACAGAGGAAGTTGGACTGTTATATGATGGAACCAAGGTTTGCATATCCATGTACAAGATGAAGATGTCTATAAACTTCCATGAGAACACTGGATCACTTTTGTTCTGCACACTGTGTTTTAGGCTTCCACGTACCTATAATTTACTTGTAGTTATTTGTTTTTATTAGGTGAAACAGAATGGCACTTTGAGGATCCTTTTACTTGTTAGAAATATGACTTGTGTTGATGGAATGTTTTCAGCAATGATGAATAGTTCAAATGGGTATTGCACTGAATTAATGTGCTACTAGATAATTAGAACTGTTCAAAAGTATCTCATGGATTTTTTCATTCTGTAGCTTTTTTACAGGAAGTGGGATAGGTTTCGAGGCCTTTATTACCTGCTCTGGAGTGTTGGTGGTTGCAGTTTGTACAAAGAGAGAGTATGCAACAGTAATGCTGCCAGATCATTGTTTTTGTGATTCCCTCTGGGTAAGACCTGTTGCTTGCTTACATAAATGTGCTTTGTTTAGGACAGCATAACCTTAAAGAGAAGTAGGCGATGATCTTAATGAGTGATTTAGTTTTTTTCCTCCTTGAATAAGGACACATTCCATTTCTAAGGATAAGGCCTAATCCTTAAACATGTGAGTAGGTCACATTATAGACTTACTTGTTTGATAGGGTTTTGATGGCAGGATGAGGTTATGTTCCTGGGTGTGGCTTATGAACGAGAGGCTTTTAGGGGATGCTGGTTTTATGTATCAGTTTCCTGAAGTAAATTGTCACCATTTAATTAATTAAAGCTGCTGGTTTTTGGAGTGAATTAATTTAATATTTATACTAGTGGTTAGTAATTATTGTCAGAGGCTTAGCAGTTTTGTATATGTTTTTAAGTTTTAAAACTAAATAAATGTCAGTGTGGCTACTTTGGCAACTAATAATTGCAGGATAGGATTTGAAATCACAGAATCATAGAAAAGGTAGGACTGAAAGGGATGGTGAGAAGTGAATTCCAGCCCCTTGCACTGAGACAGGACCAAGTAAACCTAGATCATCCCTGAGAGGTGTTAGCCCTATCTGTTTTTAAACCCTTCCAAAGACGGAAATTCCACAACCACACTTGGAAGCTATTGCATAGCTATAAGCAAACCTTATAGGTAGAAATTTTTTTCCTAATATATAGTTTAAATCTTTCTTGCTCCAAAGTAAGCCTAGTGTTCCTGGCCTTCCTTTAGTGGACATAGAGACCAATTGATTGCTGTCTTTATAATAGCCCTCTACATATTTGAAATCTCTTAACATGTCCCCCCTCGATCTTCATTTTTTAAGACTAAATATACCAGGGCTTTTTTTAAAAAACCTTTTCCTTATAGATCAGGCTTCTGAAACCTTTTATCACTTTGGCTGCTCTCCTTTGGCTCTAATCCGTTCATATGTTTCCTAAACTGCTCAGAATTGGACACAGCTGCAGCTTCACCAATTCTGAGAAGAGCAGGATAATTGTCTCCCATGACTTGCATACAATAGTTCTGTTAATACTAAGGATGTTAAGAGGTGGATAATTCACTAATTGTGTAGTCGATAAAACTTTTATTGACTACAGGATTAGTCGATAAGGGAAGGCTTGCTCAGTCCTGGCTCATGCTGGGTCCAGGAGCTACCCCTGCTGCGGTTCTACAGTTTAAATGTAGTAAGAGCGAGGCCCACAGGCAGCCTGGCTCCTACTATGTTTAAAATGCAGAGTCACAATGGGGTTGCTCTCAGACCTTGCACAAGCTGAGACTGAGCTGGGCTTGCTCAATCCTGGTTCATGCTGGGTCCAGCAGCCCCACAGAGATGGCGGTGGGGAAAACTGGCTTTAAACTCTTCCCCCCCCCCCCCAGTAATAGGCTTCTGCTTTCTCCCCGACTGTTTGCTTACATCCCTAGTTAATACACCTTGGAATGGTGTTAGCTTTTTTTGCCACTACATCATGTTGATTCCTATTTTATTTGTGATCCACTGTAACCCCTAGAACCTTTTCAGCATTACTACCATCCTGCCTGTTGATCTCATCTTGTATTCGTGCATTTGATTTTTCCTTCTTAAGTGTTGTACTTTGATATTTGTCTTTATTGAATTTCATCTTGTTGAATTCAGACCAATACTCCAAATTGTCAAGGTCTTCTTGAACTCTTCTAGTGTCTTCCAAAGTACTTGTAACCCTTCTCATTTTGGTATCATCCACACATTTTATAAGCATCCTAATGATTACTGTCTCTGCAGTCTCTATATAATGGGGCCATGGCAGCGTCACCGTAATTGTCTATTTCCTTCTCTTTTTTTAAAGAGAAGAAATATAAGTGCAGGTGGATCTCCTGAATGGGGGGTTGTATTATAGTTATACACTAATATTTAGTATAGAATAATAGAACCATAGAGCCGGAAGAGAGCTCATCAAGTCCAGCCCCCTGCCCAAGGCAGGACCAGTCCCAATTAAATCAACACAGCCAGGGCTTTGTCAAGCTGATAGAGGTGCTTAACTAGGGATGGAGACTCCACTACTTCCCTAGGTAACCCATTCCAGTGCTTCACCACTCTCCTAGTGAAATATTTTTCCTAATATCCAACCTGGACCTCTCCTACTGCAACTTGACACCATTGTTCCTTGTTCTGCCATCCGTCACTGCTGTGAACAGCCTTTCTCCAGCCTGTTTGGAACCTCCCTTCAGGAAGTTGAAGGCTGCTATCAAATCCCCCCCCCCCACTCTTCTCTTCTGCCGACTAAACAGACCCAACTTCCTCAGCCTCTCCTCGTAGGTCATATGCTCCAGCCCCTTAATCATTTTGGTCACCCTCCGCTGGACCCTCTCCAATGCGTCCACATCCTTTTTGTAGTGGGGGGCCCAGAACTGGACATAATACTCTAGCTGTGGACTCACCAGAGCCGAATAAAGGGGAATAATGACATCTCTGGATCTGCTGGCAATGCTCCTCCTAATGCAACCTAATATGCCATTCGCCTTCTTGGTTACAAGGGCACACTGTTGACTCATGTCCAGCTTCTCATCCACTGTAACCCCCAGGTCCTTTTCTAAAGAACTGCTACTTAGCCAGTTGGTCCCCAGCCTGTAACAATGCTTGGGATTCTTCCGTCCCAAGTGCAGGACTCTACACTTGTCCTTGTTGAACCTCATCAGAGTTCTTGTGGCCCAATCCTCCAATTAGTCTGTCACTCTGGACCCTCTCCCTGCCCTCCAGCATATCTACCTCTCCCCCTAGCTTAGTGTCATCCGCAAACTTGCTAAGGGTGCAATCCAGCCCCTCATTCAGGTCATTAATAAAGATGTTGAACAAAACCAGTCCCAGAACCGAACCTTGGGGCACTCTGCTGACATCCTGACATTGAGCCGTTGATCACTACCCGCTGAGCCCGACCTTTCAGCCAGCTTTCTATCCATCTTACCGTCCATTTATCCAATCCACATTCCCTTAACTTGCTGACAAGAATATTGTGGGAGACCGTATCAAAAGCCTTGCTAAAGTCAAAGGTATATCATATCCACTGACTTCCCCATATCCACAGAGCCAGTTACCTCATCATAGAAGCTAATCAGATTGGTCAGGCATGACTTGCCCTTTGTGAATCCATGCTGACTATTCCTGATCACCTTCCCTTCTTCCAAGTGCTGCAAAATGGATTCCTTGAGGATCCCCTCCATGATTTTTCCGGGCACTGAGGTAAGGCTAACTGGCCTATAGTTCCCTGGATTGTTCTTCTTCCCTTTTTTGAAGATGGGCACTACATTTGCCTTTTTCCAATAATCCGAGATCTCTCCCGATCTCCACGACTTTTCAAAGATAAAGGCCAAAGGCTCTTAAATGACATTTGCCAACTCCCTCAGTACCCTTGGATGTATTAAGTCTGGACCCATGGATTGATGTATGTTTAGCTTTTTTAAATAGTTCCTAGCCTATTCTTTCCCCACCAAGGGCTGTCCACCTTCTTCCCATCTTGCGTCACTTAGCGCATGAGTCTGTAAGCTGACCTTGTCCCTGAAGACAGAGGCAAAAAAAGCATTAAGTCTGTGCTCACCAACAGGTTGATCATGAGGCGTCCTGCCCGATCCTCCTCCTCCTCCTCCCAATTTCCTCCCCACCCCCGAGAAGCCCCACTACCTACCTTAAGTGAAAATGGAGGTAGTGTCAGCTTCCCGGGGATGGACAGAAGTCCCGCACCTTAGCGCCACTTCCAGCGATTCCAGCTGCTCTGTTGGGCGTACTGCGGAAGGGAGCAATGGCTCTGGAGGAGGAGCACAGCGACTTCCCTGCACCGCACAGGAGGGGTGAGTCAGCCCCGGGGCAGGCGCGCACAGGGCTTCCCTGCGCCGGGGGGAATCCTGGGAGGCGGCAGATGCAGGGGACTCTCTGCCTCCACTCCCCTTCCCCTGTTCCCATCCCCCCCCATTCCTTCTTCCTACTGCCCAGTTACCTCTCCCAAGCTACAGAACTCTGTCCCCCTTCCCCTGTCCCCGGCCACAGAACTCTGTCCCCACTCCCCTGTCCCTGGTTACAGAACTCTGTCCCCACTCCCCTGTCCCTGGTCACAGAACTCTGTCCCCACTCCCCTGTCCCCAGCTACAGCACTCTGTCCCCACTCCCCTGTCCCCAGCCACAGAACTCTGTCCCCACTGGCACCCTGTCCTCTGCCAAAACACTCACTAGCACCCTTCCCCAGTACTATGTCCCCTGCTCCCACCAACACAGTTGGGGCCGCATTAGTGAAGCTTTTGGGGTGGGGGGAGGAGCGTTTTTTTGCATCTCACTTGTGTGGCCCCAACTGACTTTCCTTGGGTCAGTGACCCCTGACTCAAGACAGGTTCCCTGCCCTTCTCAGAAATAAAGACAATGCAGAAACTTTTTTTGACACAGTATTTTATTTAAAAATGTAGCCTGGCCAACATAACCCAAATAGGGGCCAAGCCCCCATCTGGCCACAACCACTCCTGCATTCCCCCTTCCCTAGACCCTAGATCTGAGCCTATCATACACTGGAACCTCCTGCCCTGAGCCCCTCACATACCCCAACCCAAATTCCTGAACCCTCACATCCAGAAGTCTGTGGCTCGCTTAGTACCCTAACCCTACATCTGATCCCAGCACTGCTCGGCTTAGCGCCCTCTCCCCAAGCCAGTGTCCCCTTCTCCACCTTCTCCTGCATCCAGATTTCCTCCTAGAGCTTGTACCTCTCACCCATTCCCACACCCAAATCCCTCATTCCCACCCCAGAGCCTACACATCCTGTCTCAACCCAGCAAGGTTATGGCTAGACAGCAGGAGTTTTTCAGGATTCTGGAGATAACCCAGAAAAACTCTTCTGCATCCAGGGATGCATTTGTTCTTCCACTTCTTTTAGTGGAAGAGTAAACATGATATTTCGGTCACCTCTATATTCCTCTTTCCACAAGGAATAAGGGGGCTTCTAAAAGAAGGGGTTTTTCTGACATTTGGTCTAGTCTAGACAGGCCAAATGTTGGAAACACCTCTTCCTACAGAAGAATTGGGGAAAAAAGCAGCAGTATAACAGTTGTGGATAGCAAGTGATGGAGAGGAGGAGAATAGAGAGGGCGGGGCTTCAAGAAAAGGGCGGGGCTTCAAGGAAGGGGCGGGGCAGTAGATCTTGGCTCATTCTGACATTTAAAAAGTGATCTTGGGTGTGAAAAGTTTGGAGACCACTGCATTAAGTACTTCATCTTTCCCCACATCATCTGTCACTAGGTTACCGCCTTCATCCAGTAAGGGCCCCACAACCTCTCTGATCACCTTCTTCTTGTTAACAAGCCTTTAGAAACCTTTCTTGTTATCCTTCACATCCTTAGCCAGTCGCAATTCCATTTGCGCTTTTGCCTTCCTGATAACTCCCCTGTATTCTCGAGCTATATATTTATATCCCTCCCTAGTCATCTGTCCAAGTTTCCACTTTTTGTAAGCTCCCTTTTTGTGCTTAAGTTGACCAAGGATTTCCCCGGTAAGCCAATCTGGTCTCCTACCATGTTTGCTTCCCTTGTTACGCATGGAATGGTTTCTTTCTGTGCCTTCAATAAGGCTTCTTTAAAATACTCCCAGCTCTCCTGGGCTCCTTTCCCTTTCCTGTTAGCATCCCAGGGGATTCTGCCCATCACGTTCCTGAGGGAGTCAAAGTCTGCTTTTCTGAAGTCCAAGGTGTGTATTTTACTACTCTCTTTTCTTCCTTTGGTCAGGATCCTGAGATCTACCATCTCATGATCACTGCTTCCCAGCTTATCACCCACCTCTACTTCCCCTATTAGTTCCTCCCTGTTTGTGAGCAGCAGGTCAAGCTGTGCACAGCCCCTGGTCGGATCCTGCAGCACTTGTACCAAGAAGTTAAAAAACTTCCTGGATTGCCTGTGTACTGCTGTATTGGTCTCCCAACAGATGTCAAGGTGATTAAAGTCCCCCATGAGAACCAGGGCCTGCGATCTGGAACCTTCTCTCAGTTGTCCGAAGAAAGCCTCATCTACCTCATCCACCTGATCCGGCGGTCTATAGCAGACACCAACCACAACATCACTACCGTTGCTTACACCTCTAAACTTGACCCATAGACTCTCAACAGGCTTTTCTCCCTCTATATACCGGAGTTCTGAGCAATCATAGTGCTCTCTTACATACAGTGCAACTCCTCCTCCTTTTCTCCCTTGCCTGTTCTTCCTGAACAGTTTATACTCTTCCAAGACAGTGCTCCAGTCAAGTGAGTCATCTCCCCAAGTCTCTTATCCCAATCAAATCGTAGTTCTGGGACTGGGCCAGGTCCTCCAGTTCTTCCTGTTTGTTACCCAGGCTTCTCACATTGTGTACAACACCTTAGATAACCAGTTGATCGCCCTACCTTCTCCTTTCGAATCAGGGGTCCTCCTTTGTTGCTTGTTTCTCTTTGCATTTCTTCCTGGTATCCAAATTCCCCAGTCCCCTCAGGGTTTTGGTTGCCCTCCCCAATGAACCTAGTTTAAAGTCCTGCTCAATAGATCTGCAAGCCTGCCTGCAAAGATGCTCCTTCTTCTCTTTGTTAGGTGGATCCCATCTCTTCCTAACAATTGTTGTGCCCGGAACAGAGTCCCATGATCAAAGAAACCAAAGCCCTCTCTCCAACACCACCTGTGCAACCATGCATTTACTTCAATTCGACGATCTCTACCCGGTCCTTTCCCTTCAACAGGGAGGATGGATGAGAACACCACTTGTGCTCTGAATTCTTTGATCCTTCTTCCCAACTCTACGTAATCCGCAGTAACTCGTTCAAGGTCATTCTTGACCGTATCGTTAGTTCCTGCATGGAGAAGCAGGAAGGGGTAGCAATCCGAAGGTTTTATCAGTTTGGTAAGCCTCTCCATCACATCCTGAATTCGAGCTCCCGGTAAGCAGCACACCTCTTGAGATTCCAGGTCCGGACTGCAGATGAATGGCGCAGTCATCTTCTTTTGGGGGTGGTGGTCGTGGAACCCCCATCCCTAGGACTATGTATCCCATGCCTTCCAGTAGGAGTGGTTCCCTTCCGATTTCTTCCTTGCGAGGTCCCTTCCAAAGCATTCTTCATTGCAGAGCCTGTGGAGAGAGCCTGAAAACGATTACTTAACTCTGGAGGAATGGGGGATTCCTTTGCTGGCCTTATTTTCCTTCTAGAAGATGCATGCTACCAATTCTCTTTCTTGTCCTGTACTGCCCTCTCTGGCTCTTCTGTCTGCCTTGCTTGCAGAATTAAACACTACCTTCTGTCAAGGAAGTCTTCATCCTCTCTGAGTGGAGGGTCGACACTTGGGCCTCTAGTCCTCTAATTTTTTCCTCTAAAAAGTCTATGGCTTAGAAAATGAGAGCAAGTTAACTGTTGCCCTCATCTCATTCCTCATATGTAAGGGCTGTATTGCATTATTATGAAGGGCGTCACCTCTTTTTTTTTTTTCCCACCGCAAAAAACTTTTTGTAATGTACATTTTTTTAAAAAAGGAAGGCATTGATTGATACTTGATCTGTTTTTCCGGTGATGCTATAGAAATTTGTCATCTGCTATAATTTCTTTGCTCATTTCATGGTAGCAGTGTTGGGTAGACATGCAGAACTGTTTTCTTGCATTTTAATAACTACCTACTCAGATTGTGTTATTTTATTGCCTGTGCAGCACAACATAACTATTGTTCACGTGCCTGGAAAGAGACCCTTTGGTCAAAGCTTTGTCTACATCTATGTCAATGGACAGCAGAAGATCTCTGCCCCACTTAGATTTCCTGCTATGAATGAAGTAAGTTTGTTCTTCACATCAGTCCACTATGCTAGTGATTTCTTATAGAAGAAATAGTTTGTAACATTGTGGTCAGATAAAACTAAGAAATAAAAAGGGAAAAATTGGTTATTTATGGTTTAAAAACATGGTCAAAACTGATTAGCAGTTGTTTTCCTTGTTCATGTGTTGAGGATAGTTAAGGTCATCCTCAACATGTCTCTTTTGAGCCACTTCAAATATGGCAGAATAGAAAAGGCTAGATGTTGATGGTGGTTCAGTGGTCTATGTAACCTCGTGTGAACTCCTTTTATGTGAGAGAGCACACAAGAAGTTTGAGTAATCTTGCACTGTACTGGGTTAGGGACACTTCTTTTCAGTGATGTTAACTGATCAGTTCTACATGATAAATATTAAATTAACCTTAATAAGCAGAATACAATAGAATAGTTATGTAATATATGGATACTTGTAAACAGTTTCTCCTCTTTGTGGAACTAGTCTGTTTGAAACCTAGGTTACAATGTTATGATACTGATCCATTACTTTTATTTTTATATTCCCCAGTTGTACAATCTTTCTTGTTTTGGGGCACGTATTCATATCAGTGGTTCCACTGACTTAATCATGACTACTTGCATGACTTATGTGCTTCCCTAAAGGTCGATGAATCAAGTAGTTAGCTATTAAAAGACCAAACTGTTGATTTTTGGATGCATCTGTGAATAGTTTTAGAAACTTCAGAACATTTATTTACCTTCTTTTATAAACACTGAGGAGGTACCTCTTGTACAAGATGGCATGGGAATATGTCATTAAAGCAGAATTATTTGACAAGATTGTCAGAACACCTTAGATAACCAGTTGATCGCCCTACCTTCTCCTTTCGAATCAGGGGTCCTCCTTTGTTGCTTGTTTCTCTTTGCATTTCTTCCTGGTATCCAAATTCCCCAGTCCCCTCAGGGTTTTGGTTGCCCTCCCCAATGAACCTAGTTTAAAGTCCTGCTCAATAGATCTGCAAGCCTGCCTGCAAAGATGCTCCTTCTTCTCTTTGTTAGGTGGATCCCATCTCTTCCTAACAATTGTTGTGCCCGGAACAGAGTCCCATGATCAAAGAAACCAAAGCCCTCTCTCCAACACCACCTGTGCAACCATGCATTTACTTCAATTCGACGATCTCTACCCGGTCCTTTCCCTTCAACAGGGAGGATGGATGAGAACACCACTTGTGCTCTGAATTCTTTGATCCTTCTTCCCAACTCTACGTAATCCGCAGTAACTCGTTCAAGGTCATTCTTGACCGTATCGTTAGTTCCTGCATGGAGAAGCAGGAAGGGGTAGCAATCCGAAGGTTTTATCAGTTTGGTAAGCCTCTCCATCACATCCTGAATTCGAGCTCCCGGTAAGCAGCACACCTCTTGAGATTCCAGGTCCGGACTGCAGATGAATGGCGCAGTCATCTTCTTTTGGGGGTGGTGGTCGTGGAACCCCCATCCCTAGGACTATGTATCCCATGCCTTCCAGTAGGAGTGGTTCCCTTCCGATTTCTTCCTTGCGAGGTCCCTTCCAAAGCATTCTTCATTGCAGAGCCTGTGGAGAGAGCCTGAAAACGATTACTTAACTCTGGAGGAATGGGGGATTCCTTTGCTGGCCTTATTTTCCTTCTAGAAGATGCATGCTACCAATTCTCTTTCTTGTCCTGTACTGCCCTCTCTGGCTCTTCTGTCTGCCTTGCTTGCAGAATTAAACACTACCTTCTGTCAAGGAAGTCTTCATCCTCTCTGAGTGGAGGGTCGACACTTGGGCCTCTAGTCCTCTAATTTTTTCCTCTAAAAAGTCTATGGCTTAGAAAATGAGAGCAAGTTAACTGTTGCCCTCATCTCATTCCTCATATGTAAGGGCTGTATTGCATTATTATGAAGGGCGTCACCTCTTTTTTTTTTTTCCCACCGCAAAAAACTTTTTGTAATGTACATTTTTTTAAAAAAGGAAGGCATTGATTGATACTTGATCTGTTTTTCCGGTGATGCTATAGAAATTTGTCATCTGCTATAATTTCTTTGCTCATTTCATGGTAGCAGTGTTGGGTAGACATGCAGAACTGTTTTCTTGCATTTTAATAACTACCTACTCAGATTGTGTTATTTTATTGCCTGTGCAGCACAACATAACTATTGTTCACGTGCCTGGAAAGAGACCCTTTGGTCAAAGCTTTGTCTACATCTATGTCAATGGACAGCAGAAGATCTCTGCCCCACTTAGATTTCCTGCTATGAATGAAGTAAGTTTGTTCTTCACATCAGTCCACTATGCTAGTGATTTCTTATAGAAGAAATAGTTTGTAACATTGTGGTCAGATAAAACTAAGAAATAAAAAGGGAAAAATTGGTTATTTATGGTTTAAAAACATGGTCAAAACTGATTAGCAGTTGTTTTCCTTGTTCATGTGTTGAGGATAGTTAAGGTCATCCTCAACATGTCTCTTTTGAGCCACTTCAAATATGGCAGAATAGAAAAGGCTAGATGTTGATGGTGGTTCAGTGGTCTATGTAACCTCGTGTGAACTCCTTTTATGTGAGAGAGCACACAAGAAGTTTGAGTAATCTTGCACTGTACTGGGTTAGGGACACTTCTTTTCAGTGATGTTAACTGATCAGTTCTACATGATAAATATTAAATTAACCTTAATAAGCAGAATACAATAGAATAGTTATGTAATATATGGATACTTGTAAACAGTTTCTCCTCTTTGTGGAACTAGTCTGTTTGAAACCTAGGTTACAATGTTATGATACTGATCCATTACTTTTATTTTTATATTCCCCAGTTGTACAATCTTTCTTGTTTTGGGGCACGTATTCATATCAGTGGTTCCACTGACTTAATCATGACTACTTGCATGACTTATGTGCTTCCCTAAAGGTCGATGAATCAAGTAGTTAGCTATTAAAAGACCAAACTGTTGATTTTTGGATGCATCTGTGAATAGTTTTAGAAACTTCAGAACATTTATTTACCTTCTTTTATAAACACTGAGGAGGTACCTCTTGTACAAGATGGCATGGGAATATGTCATTAAAGCAGAATTATTTGACAAGATTGTCAGCGATACATATTGCTTAAGTACCAGGATATATGATTCAAAGGGAACAATCTAGTGGGACAGAGCTGTGGTAAAAAGCCAAGCAAGCTCATTTTCATGCTCCTGGTCAGGTGAATTAACTAGTCCTGGTTGGAGAAGGATTAACATGCACTTTCTATTTCAACATATTACTGTCTTTCAACACCTCTTTCCTCTGTCAAAGCTGGTTTTCCCTGAAAGTTCATTAGATTTAGTTCAGTTCACTCATTTTTATGTTTAATTTTGAGAAAGTGTTACAGCGGGCGTCACCTCTTGTGTTTTTTTTTTGTTTTTTTTGTTTTTTTTTTTTTAAACACCTGCATCTCTAGCCTTTTACTTCTTGTTGCATTGGCTCAGCTGGTCAGAGGACAACCACTCCTCCGCCCTCTCAGATACCAGACCCTCCCTTCTCCTCTCCCATTATGCCTCATCGAACGTCTCTAGGTGGGATTCTCTCTCCCGCCAGTTGGGGAGGTCTGCTTGGGAAATCAGAAGTGGTCACTAAGTTGATCTCTGCGGGTACCCAGGACAGTGAATGGGGATGTCCAACATCACTGGAGGGCCAACTTGGGTCAGTGATCCTCTTCCACGAAGCACTGCAGCCTTCTCAGGTGAAAGCTCTGTATTTGGCAGGTAAGTGGTGGTAGTGGTGGTTGTATAGAGGTAACACAAACAAGCCCCAGCTGAGGACCCTGTTGTGCTACGTCCTGTACAAATAGTATAACAGAAAGATACATGCCCCAAAGAACTTAGTCTAAATACACAGCTTGCATTGTGCCAAACTAGCAGATATGTCCATAAACTATGTTGGTTTTTGAATCATCCCTTTTGATAGTAACACGTGTATGTTATAATAGACTTGCTTTGTTTACGCAGAATCTCCTGGTTTGAGTAATCTCTGGTTTTGAGTGCTTGCTCATGTCCATTCCATTATGCGTGTGTGCGTGTTTCATGCACAATTGCCAAAAGGTATTTCCCTAGGAGTACCTGTCAGGTTGGCTGTGGAGCCTCCTGGAGTGCTGCCTTTATGGGAATGTGTATTGGTCCCTGCAACCTGTCGCCTGCTCAGTTCCTCCTTACCACCATGATGATCATTGGAGTGCTCGATCTCTTACTTCGCAAGGCATCCCTAGCTGCTGCTGTTGTATAGGGTTCCAACTTACTCCTTCTTCGAATGCAATAATTAGCTTTTTAGTCGCTATCCCCACGGCATGCAGCAACCCCAGGGGTTTCAGTACAGCAACTCATGCTGCAAGCCTATGCCTAGGGGGGACCAGCATGCTGCTGGCTTAACGTGCCTAGGTGAGGGCCATCTGACAGATAAGTGTAGCATTTGCAAGAGCTATAAACCCAGAACGAAGTGGGAAAGAGACCAGCATTTGAAACTCCTGCACTTCAACCCTCTGCATAGGAAACGGTGCCAATACCCTCAGTACACAGTGCATCGACCTCCATGCGGGATGCCTTCTCACCAAGGAAGTAGAACCACAAAGAGCACTAGCTCTGCTCTCCAATATGGAAGACCAGCTCCTCTGTGCAGTACAATTCATCATCGCTGGTGCTGCACAAGAGAGAGAAAGTGGACCAAGGCTGTTTGTCAATGGCAGCCTCTAGCGGTTCCCAACCACTAGATAAGGAACTGCTTGAGGCTTCAGGTCCACATGGGCCTACACGTTTGTCGTGCAGCACTCCAGGCTGTACCTTCACCCTCTACAGGCCTGGGTAGGCAGAGTGTACAAACCTTTTGGACAGACTGGTCACGTTTCCTACCTCAGTTCTCAAATCCCTCAACTGGTGGCTTCAATCTCTGAGGGTCTGTGTGAGAACCCTTTGCCAGCCCTCCCCCTCTCTGCTCATGGGCACATTGGAGGCGCACCTGGGCAACAACAGAACTCAGGGCCTGAGGTTGCAATCAGTGGCCCACCAGTGTCTGAGACCTTTCTTCCCCAAGTGTAGGGGAAGAGGGTCTCAGTATTGACACAGAACAGCACAGGGATATGTTTTGTATTAACAGACAGGGTAGTGCTTGGTCTTCTCCTCTCTGCCTAGAAGCCCTTCGCCTGTGGGACTATATAGATCATCGCATCCACCTGTAGTCCTCAGACTTGCCAGGGGCGCAGAATAACCTAGTGGACCATCTCACCACTCATTCAGCAAGGTGGTCTTGCTGTACAAACTGTTAGACCTCTCTGGGCTAGCAGCACCCTCTGGACTTGACTGGTGCTGAGCAAGGGAGTTTGCTGGACCAAGGGAGGTCAGTACCCCTCTTGGACACTGGCAGCTGCTCCAGGGCTCTCTTCCTGCTGCTGGCCCCAGTCACCAGGCTGTGTTCCCAGCCCGCATCCTGGCCACTGGCCCAGCTGCACTCCCGGCTGCCAGCTCTTTATTGCAATAGCAGAAAGAATGAAGGGGCTTCCCATCTCTTTTCAGTGCATTTCATCATGGATCACATCTTGCATCAGGGCCTGTTATGACATGGTCAGAGCTGTGGCATTGACAGCTCACTCCACCCGAGCGCAGGCATCCTTAGTGGCGTTCCTCACACCGATCCCCATTCAGGACATTTATAGGGCATCAGTGTCGTCCATTCCCACCTTCATGTCACACTATGCCCTCACTCAACAGGCAAGGGACCGCACCGCGTTTGGCACAGCAGTTCTTCAAGCAGCAGCTCAATGAGTTCCAATCCCTGCTTCAGGGTAACAGCTGGGGGTTGTTTATTGGAATGGACATGAGCAAACGTTGATGAAAAAATAGTTACCTACTAAGGATGTAAAATCTCTATTTAATTGGTTAACCGGTTAAATGTTACATTTAACTGGCTAAAAGGAGGGGTGGGAGGGTGTAGAACTGCCCCCGTCCCACCACAGACAAGGGTGAGGCTTAGTGGTTAACTATTAATATCCCTATTACTTACCTCTTGTGACTGTTGTGCTCCGAGATGCGTTGCTCACGTCCATTACAAATCCCACCGGCCTCCCCAGAAAAAAATGGAGCAGGCAGTGGGTCAGCAGGGACCTGTGTATGTTGCCATGAAAGCACCAATCCAGGATGCTCCAGAGCCAATGTGATGGGCACTGCTACAGAAAAACCATCCAGCGATCATGCACATGTTGCGTATTGTGGCAAGGGCCCCTCTTCTCCAAGCCACTACTGGGGTTTTCAGCGGGTCTCAGTGGTAGGGAGCCCAAGCCAGGGGCCCACAGGCTCCCTTCCCTGCTGCCTTTACCTAATGCTGGTCCAACTTGTTCTCTCCCTTTCTTCCTCTCTGCCTCTCCACCGCCTTCCTTTTGTCCTCTCACACCTCTCTCCAGCCTCCAACTGCTGAGGCTTTTAAAGGCCCTCAGAGAGACAGCAGAGAAGTCAGCTGGCCCCAATTTGCCTAAGCCAGCTCCCAGCTGCACCTAATTGTGCTGCAGTTCTCTGCTTTTCTAACAGGAGTTTTTCCCTTTTAGGCTGCCTTTTCTCCTCTCTGCAGCAGCTCCCTGGCCTGACCCTGTCACACATCCCCCCCTCTGTTCAACCCCATGGGGTTGGGTTACTTGGGTCGGACAACAATGCACCCTTGACAACCCGTCTGCATTCCCATGCTGGGTCCCTGATCTGTGTTGCACACGGAAGTGGAAGGGCTGCAGGGACAGGAACCATCGGGTAACCCTCGCATTTCTGTCCTTGTTTCGGTGCATCCACTGCAGAGGCGCATGATCGGTGACCAGGGTAAACTTCCGCCCAAGAAGGTAGTAGCGAAGGCTTTCCATGGCCCACTTTACTGCGAGACATTCTCTTTCTACCACGGCGTAGTTTTGTTCCCTCGGCAGAAGCTTCCTG